AAAACTGTTGGTGTTTCTAATTATTCAACAAATGAAATGATTAAAATGTATGATTGCTTACAAAAACATGGTATTCAACTTGCATCAAATCAAGTTGAATATTCACTTCTTCGACGTTCACCAGAAACATCTGGACATATTGCTGAATGTCATAAACGAGGTGTTGCTGTTCTAGGATATTCTCCTCTTGTAAGTTTTATAAACCTTTAAAAAAACAAAAATTTTTACTCTTATTAATCAGGCTATGGGTCGTCTTACAGGAAAATATTCAAAAACAAACCCAGTTCCATCGGGTCGTCATTTCTCTAATGTTAATATAGATGAAGTAGAACCATTATTAGAAACAATGCGAGTTATTGCAGATAAACATAATGTTAGTGTTTCTTCAGTTGCTTTAAACTATGTTATATGCAAAGGTATGAAATCATTTAATTTTTTCTATCTATATAATTTATTATGTTTTTTAAAGGTGTTATTCCTCTTGGTGGTGCTCGTGATGCTAAACAAGCTGAACAAAATGCTGGCGCTTTAGGATGGCGTTTAACAAATGAAGAAATCACCGAACTTGAGAGTCATACGATTGCTCCAAGCGGTGGATTTTGGAATCGAATTTGGCAACATGCATAAGAATGTGAAACATTTTTTATACGCGATTATGATTAAAAACTCTTTTTATTAAATGGTAGAATCTAGTTTGATTATTATTATATTCAGTCAATTGATATTTGTTATTATAAAATACATGCAATGACATGAATTAAATATATAGAACGATTTAGATACTTTTTTAAGGTTTAAAATGAACTATGATAGTATCAAAATATATCCAAATAATCATCTTAATTATCGTGATAATAAGCAGAACTCCGTTGTTTATTCATATCACAGTATCATATTTAGACTTCCTATAAAACATACCATCCAATTGTAATGAAAATCGATTTGAATGGGTTACGTTTCTTATCTCGTTGACAAGTATCAAAATGGTAAACAGTCATTATATCACCATACGCATAATATAAAGTTGTTAACTATTTATCAAAATGACCGCATAGACATAATACTATTCACATCAAACTGTTGACATATCTATACTTCAAAAGCTCATATCAAACTTGTAAATATCGATATGTAAATAAACTATTATGATAAAGAAAAAGTATGAGAATGTAAAATAAATATTAAATCATCACTCACACTCTTAAGATAATATAATGATAATATATTTTCATTCAATAAAGAAATACTAATCATCAATTCGAATTGAACTAGCTATAAAGAAATTTCTGGTATAGATTACTTTAGTATATTTTGATACTTTTACTAGATGAGAAAAAGTAGGTCATTAGTAATATTGAAAGTGTAATTCATCAAAAACTTCCTCGAGCTAAATTCAGCAGTCTAACAACTCGTGCCCATGTCAGGAAGAAGAATATAAAGGAACCTTGATAAATTCCGGTTAGATCTTGATCTTAATATAAGGTAATTATTATTCGTTTGTAGAACAAAAATAAAAATACAGAGATTCACGAACAATTTTAATAATATCAGATTTTTGAATCAATCATTTACATCGAATGAATATTGAGACTATTTTTTAAAGATAAAACTCTCGACAGATATTTGTAGTAATGATATAGAATCCGAAGTATAAGTCACGCGACAAAAACAAATAAACAATTATTATTAAGTTTATTATCTTTCGACTGCAGCTGTTAAATTCATTTTTTTTTTTGATAAATATTTAGTTTGATATGTGACGGACGTCATTATAGATAATGTAGTAAGATCTTTTAAGTAGAGATCAAATATTTCTAAATCACGCATGACATATCAAACGCAATATTCTCTTCCTCATTATAAATCTAAAAAAAGAATTTTCAAGTGGGACCAGATATGCAGTAGTTTAAGAGGTAATTTACTCAAATTTTTATCAATGTCGCTCATATTTTGCATGTTATCTCGTATTCTAAAGATTAAAAGAGAAGAAAAAGAAACAAAATCCAATAGTGATTCAATAAGTAGGCGATAGAAACACGCAATATAAACATATAGTTTCTGAAAACTATTATTCAGTCTCATTATTATCCTTTTTTTATTGCATTCAAAAATTATCATGGTTTCTATCATGCAGCTTATATGCATCACTGGTAATTCAGTTTTGTTTTTTGTACAAATACTTATTGTTATATTTTAAGGTTTAATACTCGTATCTTTTGTCATCTATACTAAACAAGATATGGTATCAATGCCATCTTCTGAAGAAGAAGGACTTGAATTAGATAAACGTCGTTATGATGGCCATGTACGCAGTTCTATTCCACTTTTTCGTGGATCTAATTTAGGTATTTTTGTCCGCAAACGTCCATTTGCTGCTAGTCCTGATCATTCAATAAGCCGACGAAAAGATTCTCATTTATCATCAGTTAACAATGACAATGTTTTAGCACAAGCATTAAACAGCAACGATCAACGTCGACGTTTTGATGATTATTCAGAAAATCCAGGACCAATGTTTGGCCGATAATAACTTTTGTTTTCATGTACACCTATATACCCAAAAAGAAATATTTAATAAAAATAAATCGTTGTAGTGTACAGATTAAAAACAAAAGGAGCATTAAGAAAATTTTTATTGATAAAAAATTGTATTATGAGATTAATAAGAAAAGTTTATATTAAACAAATGTCAGATACTCTCTTTGATTGTACGAGAAGAAATTGATTCAATAGAATTTGTTGTCAATGGAAAATATCGAAAAATTACAATAATATAAACTGGAGAGGAGAGGGAGAAATCGCTCCCTCCCTCAATCATAAAAGGTTCACGACAGCGCTACTCTTTAGTATATGCATATATATATACTCTTGTCCTTTTAATTGAATGTAAATGAGGATAAAACTAACAAAAGCTAATTGTTCTTTTTTCTATTTTTTTCCATATAATTATTTTAAGAAAAAGTCTCTTTGTTATTTATAAATCAATTATAATTATCATGTTTTACGTTTTACGATTTTCTACGAACTCTATAAAAACAATAATATTCATATTTATTTTAAAGTTGGACTTTTCTTGATAGAAATAAAAATATATATCACGTAATGTTTTTTATAAACAAATTCTATTTATAGTTCTGCACTCATTGAACAAAAGATTATTCTATTGTAATAATGTATTAGTTGCATATCGAATGAGATAAATGCATTTTTTGATTCATTAATTAGACAAAGTGTCGTTAGGTTTCCAAGAGATATTGACCATAGACGAACAACCAGTAATTTTAGCTCATGAAACATAATAATCCCCCGCTATTTTTTTATATTTTGTCAGACAAAAAAGATTAGACGAGAAAATACGAGTGCAAAAAACTTGTATCACGAAACAAATCTTGCCTTTCACTTCCTATAGATTTCATAAGAAACTTTATCTGTGTTTTTTTCAACCATAAAATCTAGAATGGCCATCGATTACTGATGATATTTAAAATTCTCTTGTACTTAAAAGTTTTTGCAATTTTATTATTGTTAATTGATTACTACAATACATATAGGTAGTTTTCATCTAAAAATTCTAAAACCTGTTCATAACGAAGTAAAATTGAGTAGTACTTCAAATTTAAGAAATATATGAGATGCTTGTTTGTTTCTCTCATGTAATACTCGATCATTGCATTGAAATGAAAGATGTACCGTAAGAACAAAGCTATATTTGTATATATGTTTACGAATGTTCATCGTGACTTGAAGACATCTGACGGCCTGTATTAACTTTGATCACATCAAGCATTCGAAAACGTAAAATAGTATATTTATATCACGTTCATCTATAACTTTTATTCCTACCAATTATTCTGTTTTATGTCATATTTCTTCAATAGTTGGCTGAATTATTTTTAAATTTGTACCAAGTTCAAATTGGTACTACTTTACTATTCATAACTATAGCGTAAGATAATCATAATGGTTCAACAGAACATCTTTCGTAAGTTAATGGTTCATTATTATTAGATAAAATAAATTCACTAGCTTGAAGTAATTCTGTCGCATATTTAATGGAGAAACTTTTTGATAGAAAAGAATAAGAAAAAATATTTTCGAACTTCGAGGACATTTATTTTCGTAACAATGAGAAATAATATTACAAGCATTTAACTTTTCTTGATCTTTTTAATTACATGTTAAAATAAAAAGTTTTGTCGCAATAATTAGTTCAGATTGAAGTATTTTTTTCAATTTGCTGTTGTTGCAATTCATCGAAGGGTAAACAAACAGCATCACCAAATATATAAGGACATTTGAATGTACGAGAAAAAAGAAAGATTAGTTTATATACCACTGACTGTCAGAATAATATTCAAGTTCACGTTGAGCTTGACGATGAACTCAAGCGACAGTAAAACTGCCTAATGAAAGTTGATTACATAATAAATCATTTGACGCTAGATATCTCTTTGTTCAACAACAAAACTCTATCTAGATAGATGACACTGTTGTGTTTCATCTGCTTTATAGTAAATGCAACTTCATTTTTAACATATCTCAAAATGCTTCGATAGTACACATTAATACTAGTTTCAGTAATTTGATCCTTATCATCACGTAGTTTTTTTATTGAGAACAATGAATGCAATTTCTAAAAATAACAAACTAGGAAGAAGAAAAGGGATGTGTCGAACAAGAAAGTCTGGTAAAGAAAATGACGATACATACCATTCTAGACGATAGAAAATAGCGAATAATGAACTATAAGAGAATAATATATCGTCATCGATTCAGTTGACTGACTGGCTGATCATGTGACATTTATATACAAAACAACATACATACACACACACATTCACATACATAAACAAAAGATAGGATTAATATAGTTCATATACAAATGAAGAAAAAAAGAAGAAAGATATGTGTTCTATTGAATATATATATTTTTATTTTTTAATACTGAGGTTGAATTTCTGTAATAGTTACAGCAACAGCTGGAATAGCGAATGGTTGATGTGAACGAATTTTTGCATGTGTTAAAAGATGTTGTTTAAGATTTGTTGATTGGGCAAAACGTCGACTACAACCATCAAACGGACAAACATAAGGTTTATCACCCGTGTGTATTCGAACATGTGTACGTAAATTAAAATCAAGTGAAAAACGTTTTCCACATCCTTCAAATGGACATTGAAATGCTTTTTCACCAGTGTGTACAAGTTGATGACGACGTAATTTTGAACTTTCAACAAAAGATTTTTGACATTCATGACATACATGTACACCTAAGCAAAAATTAATAAATTAAATTTATTGTCATGAAAAATCCTTACGTGGTCCATGGGTATGTAAATGTTTATTCATGGAAGCAGTATCACGAAACATTTTTGTACAACCTGATTGTGGACAACGTATAGTTTTAGGTTGGTCATCGGATGGTAAATGTGTACGTCGTTTACGATGTGGTTTAACAAGATTTTGAACATACTCAGGATTAGAAAAATCAGCTGGAACTAATAATGATGAATCATTATCAAGTGGATTATCAATATTACTTAAATTATTATTTGTATCATTGCCAACACCTAAATCATCAAGATCTTCATCACCTGATGATTCATCATCATCATCATCATCATCGTCTGTATCACTTTTATCTTGTTTTATTTTATTATGAGATGCTGTTGTTGTTGCTACTGATGCTGTTATGTTATTTGTTGAACGTCGTGTTGACGAAGCTTTTTTTTGATTAAGATTTTTTGCTGATTGACGACGTGATCGTCCGCGAGAACTTTTATTTATTAATTGAGTAACTTCGTCATCTATATCTGATAAGTCATTATTTTCATCATCACTATCAAGTGATTCATCATCTGATCCACTTTCATCATCGGAATCGGAATCTGAATCATCACCAGTTGGATCATGATGTAATGGATTAACACCTGCTTGACAAAGTGCTTGAAATATAGCTACTTGATCATAGGATGTTGCTGAATTATTATTAACTAATGAATTATCAACACCATTACCACCCATTATAACAATATTACCAGTTGTACCAAGATTTAGTTTTGTTGAAACATTCGATGCTAAT